TTTGTGTCCGTAGTGCTTATCAACCTTTCTCATGAAGTAGGTCTTGCTCATGCGACTTTTCAGTTTCTTTGAAACAATTTGTTTGCCTTATTGAATGAGATCTCAGATGGATTCATGCCTTCATCAATGCTACATATGCCCCAAATTGTGCTCGATATTACAGGGAAACTATAGCTAGTTTTGAAGCCATTTCTTTGCTTTGCTTTTGATGCAGGATTAGACCGAAAGGGACTCAAAGAAAAATAATGGGTAAAACAGAATAATAATTGAAAGTGAAAAAGAACTGTGCTTAAACGAAAGGTGTCCCTTTCGGGGAAAGGAATAGGGAGACTTATCTGGAGGTATGTGCCGACTTCAATGAATCATGACATGCATTTTGGAATGGACGCCTGATCCGTCTGAGCTGTCTAATTCTCAAAATCCATCGCAAACGTTCATCTCGAAATTGTCTTGGTTGTGCTCATGCCGGATAATCGAAGACCCTCATCGGCTAGTAGCGCCCTTTGCGAGATTTCGCTAACTGGCCTCTCTCATTTCTCTACTCACTGTCGCCTTATGGTGCCCATCTGGGTTTTCACCAATAAGACTCTCTCATTTTTTTTAAGATACCGCATGAGAGAGGTTTCCCACCGCCCTTGGCATGGGACTTCAAACATTCTCAAAAAAATCGATTAGAAGTTCTTGAAAGGTAAAAGGGCGAAATGAACCTTAAATTGAATTACAACTTTTGGAACCATTTTTACAGTAACACCGTAAAATAAAACAAACTTCTGCCCCAGTTTTGGAGTATTAGGAATATGGATTTTTTGTTCTGATGGGACCGAACCCAGGGTAAGGCTGCCTACGTATCCTTTCGGAATCAGCTCGGACATAGTTCAATGACTCCGAAGTGTTGTTGTTTGACTATTTTTTCTTTCTTTCTCTTTTTTTCTCTCTTTTTTTTTACAAGTACACAGGTTCCAGAAGGTGTAAAACAAAGAAGCCAAATACGGCTCAAAAGGGTTAACAAAAGAGTGACACCTATTTGGAATAGCGAGCAATTGATAGCCTTCGTCATCTCGATCTGAGAAAATCAATGCGTGAAAGATCTACAGTGGCCATATATCAGACGTAATATCTTTTGACTGCATCTGCATTAATATTCACGTCCGGTACCTGTCCTTCTTCATCTACCAAGTGCAAGGCCCCTTTTGGTAATACTTTCTTGATGATGTAGGGTCCTTGCCAGTTCGGTGCGAACTTTCCTTTAGCTTCAACCTGGTGCGGAAGGATGCGTTTCAAAACTAGCTGGCCTACCTCAAACTACCTTGGGCGCACTTTCTTATTGTAAGTGCATGCCATTATTTGCTAGTATAACTGGCCGAAACACACTGCTGCTAGCCGTTTTTCATCGATCAACATCAGTTGTTCTAATCGGGTCTTGACCTACTCAGTGTCTTCAATCTCTGATTCCACAATAATTTGGAGAGAGGGAATTTCGACTTCAGCGGGTATTACAGCTTCAGTTGCATATACAAGCAGATACGGAGTTGTACCAACAGATGTGCGAACAATCATGCGGTATCCCAAAAGAGCAAAAGGCAACTTTTCATACCATTGCTTGGAACCTTGGATCATCTTCCTAAGAATTCTTGATGTTCTTGTTCGCCGCTTCAACGGCTCCATTGGCTTTTGGTCGGTAAGGGGTAGAATGGTGATGCATGATTTTAAATTGTTCGCATACCTCCTTTAATAGATGGCTATTTAGATTGGCTGCATTATCAGTGATAATGATCTTTGGGATACCAAAGCGACAGATGATGTTGGAATGGACCAAGTCTACCACTGCTTTCTTGGTGACTGCTTTGAAAGTGACGGCCTCTACCCACTTGGTGAAGTAATCTATTGCAACCAAAATGAATCTATGCCCATTTGAAGCCTTTGGCTCGATTGGCCCAATAACATCCATTCCCCAAGCAGCGAAAGGCCAAGGAGAGGACATGGGATGCAACTCCGAAGGAGGCGAGTGAACCAGGTCACCATGAATCTGGCATTGGTGACACTTGCGAACAAAACTGAAGCAATCTCGCTCCATACTAAGCCAATAATACCCTGCCCGCAGCATCTTCTTCGCCAAAACATATCCATTCATGTGAGGTCTGCATACCCCCGAATGCACCTCGTTCATGATCCGCTTCGCTTCTGTGGCATCTATGCATCTCAACAAGTTTAAATTTGGGGTCCTCTTGTACAAAATTTCCCCATTCAAGAAGAAACCACTGGCGAGCCGCCTTATAGTTCTTTTTTTATCTCCTTTGGCATGCTCTGGATATTCTCTTGTTTTCAGGAATCGTTTTATGTCATGATACCATGGTTCACCATCTACTTCTGCCTCAATCGTATTGGAGTAACCGTGTTGATTCCGAACTTGGATTTCTAGTGGATCAATATGAGTGTTGCCTGGATATGGGAGCATCGAGGCTAAAGTAGCCAAGGCATCGGCTAGCTCGTTGTGAAACCTAGGGATGTACCTGAACTCGATAGATTTGAATCTTTTGCTCAAGTCTTGCACATATTGTCCGTATGGAATAAGCTTGATGTCTCGAGTCTCCCTTTTTGCCCTGGGCTTGCCAGATAAGCAAGTCGAAATCTCCCACAACTAATAGTTCATGCACATCCAGATCGATGGCCATTTTCAGACGCATGATACAAGCTTCGTATTCTACCGTATTATTAGTACAAAAGAACCGAAGTCGGGCTATTGCAAGGTAATGATTTCCAATAGGTGAGATAAGGATTGCCCCGATACGAACTCCTTTGATATTGACAGCCCCATTAAAATACATTTTCCACACAGGGTTATCGTCTGGAACTACTTCCTCGATTGAGTTGACCTCTTCATCTGGGAAGTATGTGCTAAGTGGCATGTACTCATTATCAACTGGATTCTCTGCCAAATGATCTGCCAAAGCCTGTGCTTTCATCGCAGTGCGAGTGACATAGACGATGTTGAACTCGGTGAGAAAGATTTGCCATTTTGCGAGCCTGCCAGTGGGCATTGGCTTTTGGAAGATGTACTTCAAAGGATCCATTCTGGATATGAGGTAAGTAGTGTACGCCAAAAGATAGTGTCTCAGCTTCTGAGCGACCCAAGTCAAGGCACAACGTGTCCTTTCTAAAAGGGTGTACTTAACATCATAATTGGTGAATTTACTGCTCAAATAATAGATTGATTGTTCCTTTTTGCCTGTTGCATCATGTTGCCCCAGAACGCATCCAAAGGAATTATCCATCACCGATAGATATAAAAACAAAGGCCTACCAGGTTCAGGCGGGACCAGTACAGGGGGTTTTGATAGATAATCTTTGATCCTGTCAAAAGCTTTTTGGCAATCGTCTGTCCACCTGATAGCGGCATCCTTTTTCAGCAACTTAAAGATGGGCTCGCACGTGGTTGTGAGCTGAGCAATAAACCTACTGATGTAGTTCAACCTCCCGAGCAAACTCATGACTTCCTTTTTGTTCTTCGGGGGTGGCAGATCTCGAATGGACTTTATCTTAGATGGATCCAATTTGATGCCTCTCCGGCTGACTATAAAACCGAGGAGTTTCCCAGATGGAACCCCAAATGCACACTTGGCTGGATTAAGCTTAAGGTCATACCTTCGAAGCCGTTCGAAGAACTTTTTCAAATCACACACGTGATCAGCTCGTGTCTTTGATTTTATGATGACATCATCGACATATACTTTAATCTCTTTGTGCATTATGTCGTGAGAAATGGTGGTCATGGCCCTCACGTAAGTTGCCCCTGCATTCTTTAAATCGAATAGCATGACCCTGTAACAATAAGCACCCCATGGTGTGGTGAAAGCGGTCTTTTCTGCATCATCCTCATCCATTAGAATTTGGTGGTATCCAGCATAGCAATCCACAAAAGAATGTATCTCATGCTTTGCGCAATTATCTACAGGAATGTGGATGTTTGGGAAAGGAAAATTATCCTTTGGACTTTCTTTGTTCAGGTTCCTATAGTCAACACAGACTCTGGTTTTTCCATCCTTCTTTGGCACAGGCACAACATTTGCCACCCAGGTGGTGTATCGGACAGCTCTGACCACATTGGCACTCAATTGCTTCATTATTTCCTCTTTGATTTTGTCACTCATGTCTGTTTTAAATTTTCGTTGCTTTTGTTGGACTGGTGGAAAACCAGGATACGTAGGAAGCTTATGAACCACCAGATCAGCACTTAAACCCGGCATATCATCGTAAGACCAAGCAAACACATCTCTATATTTAAATAAAAGTTGAATCAAGGCATCTCTGGTTTTTTGTTTGGTGTGAATGCTGCAGATTAGCTCCCTCATTCTCTTATTGTGCCGGCAGGCCTGGGCGAACGAAGTAGGGTTAGATTAGATGGAGGAGGACTGCGAACGTCCGTCCCATGAAGCGCCAGGGAACCATGTATTCCTCCCGGGCTGGGCTCTCGCGTGTCCGGGATCCGATCAGATCTACCAGCGACCGGTTTACGGAACAAGGAGTTAAGCAAGGGCCAAGAGATTGATAAAAGAACCTGGCCGAAGTCAGTCTTGTGTTCAATTCCGCGGTTGGAAGGATTTCTTTCTGCCATCTGTCTTTCCCTTCTCTCTCTTCTCTTAGCAAAGGTAGGTTCAAGTCAAACTTTTTTTTGGCTTGCGGGCTCGGGGACTGCAGTCAGCTGCTTCCCTTGTAGTCGTCAGCTCGTTCTTGACAGATCCGATCGGGTGTTCATAATTTGGAGTAAAAGGATTCGAACCTTTGCATGCCGGTCCCAAAAACCGATGCCTTACCACTTGGCTATACTCCATAGGCCTGTCTTGGACGGTAGGAATGGGGAGAGGGGGAAGGGATAAGCAGGGCTCGAAGAAGGAGCCGTGCAAGGACGCGGGGATATAGCAAGTAAGCAGCAAGGTTCTCCCCTTAGGACCGACTACAACAAGCTCGCGACTCTAATAGAAAGAAAGGGTAAGCTCTCTGCTCTATTTGATTGCAATGCTATGCCTATCAAAGTTGGCGAAGGCTTCTGTAACCTTAAACTCGTTACGCTCTTCGACTGAACTCGTTGGCTCCGCGTCCACCGAAATTCGGTAACCTTCGTCACCATCAGCATTTGGTACTCTCTCGATAGCTTCAATAGTTCACTGAAAGCCTTTGGTGTAATAAACCGCAAGCCCTTCAGAAAGAAAGATATAATATAATAATGAATTAATTAATATTAATTAATAAAAAAAAGGGTTGGTTAAGAACTATTGACTGTAAACCATAGCAGTTACAGTCACTCAATGGAGATGTTCGCCTTTGTTTGGAATGAAGATGGATGAACAGGCACTTGAGCCTGGAACTGATGAAATTTGGGGAAAACATGGAAGCGGTCACTAGTACTGGGGGGGCCAAGACATGACCGCGACTTAGAAAAAGTACCCTTGAAAAGCTAAAGAACGGGGAATGACTACCTGTAATAAAGCACAGGCTNATAAGTACCCCCATGGAGTGGTGAAAGCGGTCTTTTCTGCATCATCCTCATCCATTAGAATTTGGTAGTACCCAGAATAGCAATCCACGAACGATTGTATCTCGTGCTTTGCGCAATTATCTACAAGAATGTGGATATTTGGTAAAGGAAAATTATCCTTTGGACTTGCTTTGTTCAGGTCCCTGCAGTCAACACAGACTCTGGTCTTTCAATCCTTCTTCGGCACAGGCACAACATTCGCCACCTAGGTGGTGTATCAGACAGCTCTGACCACATTGGCGCTCAACTGCTTCACTATTTCCTCTTTGATTTTGTCACTCATGTCTGTTTTAAATTTTCGTTGCTTTTGTTGGACTGGTGGAAAACCAGGATACGTAGGAAGCTTATGAACCACCAGATCAGCACTTAAACCCGGCATATCATCGTAAGACCAAGCAAACACATATGTGTATTCAAATAAAAGTTGAATTAAGGCATCTCTGGTTTTTTGTTCAGTGTGAATGCTTATCTTCGTTTCTCTAACTTCTTTAGGACTTCCGATATTAATTGGCTCAATTTCATTGAGGTTTGTCTTAGGCTTGTTTTCAAATTGTTCCAACTCTCTTTTTATTTCCTCAACAACCTGATCTTCATCATATTCAACCTCTTAATGGATTATTTCGATATTAGACAGATTTTTAAGATTTGAGCGTGAATTTCGCACACATGTCATGTTATTAAAGCCGACATTAACAAAACTGAAATGGAAATAAAATGACAGAATTAGGAAAAGGAAAAGATACAAAACTTAATAGGAAACTGAACTGCATTTCATTGAATTCGAAAGGATAGAAGGGTTAACATCAAAACAAAACAATCATACTGAGATGTTTGGATTACAACCCTGAAAGTAACCCAAAATACAAAAAGAAGCTGCAAAAGCAAACTACCAAGACTCCTTCCTTGTGGGGAGAGGAGTTGCTTCCCAGTTGTTGAGCATGGTATCTGGGTCAATTAGTTGCATATCGGTACGACTAGTGCCTTCACCAGCCTGGATCATATTCACTTCAGAAAACATCTGGCTGAGGCCATGGCAAATTTCATCAATGTTTGCATGCGCCGAGGAATTTTGACCCTCTTGGAGTCGTGGCTTGACAAAAGTGTAGAAAATGTGAGGGATAGGTTGTTGCAAGACCCATCCATGCTTTTTGCGGTGCTTGTCTTTGTTTTCGTCTGCTTGTGTTGGCCTGAAGCCTAAGACAAAAGTACCCTGGTTACCGAACGGAGAAATAGGCTCCGAAATTCCTTGCAATGATGCCAAGCCTTTTCCTGGCTCATAACCTTGCCTCATCATAACTGCAGCCACTATTACAGATGTGGCGGAAAGACGAGGATGCCGAATGGGCTTTCCTTCCTCGACAAGGTCCACAGCAACCACTTCAAAAGCCTGATAGACAATGGAATCAGACCCTTCCTTGGCCTCAATACAGGGGATTAATGGGTCTTTTTAAATGGAAGACTCTTCTTCTCCGTGAACAATAATTTCTTGCCTGTCATGTTAGAATTTGAGCATCTGATGCAAGGTGGATGGCACAGCTCGGGTCATATGGATCCATAGCCTTCCAAGAAGAAAGTTATAAGAAGTGGCCATGTCCACTACTTGGAAGACAATCTCAAAGTCAACCGGCCCAATCTTCATGGTGAGGTTGATCTCCCCAATGGTATCTCTTGCTGAGCCATCAAAAGCCCGGATGCAAACATTGCTGGGTCGGATTCTGTCTGTATCGATCTTCATGCTTTGCAAGGTAGAGAGAGGGCATACATCTACACTTGAGCCTCCATCAACCATGACTCGTTTTACATAATGACCCTCACATTTGACCATCAAGTTCAAAGCCCTATTGTGCCCGGCTCCCTCATCGGGAAGTTCATCATCAGTAAAGGAGATTCTGTTCACCTCAAAAAATTTGTTGGCCATCTTCTCTAACTGATTCACTATGGTCTCCTCTGAGATATGTGCCTCGTTCAGGACCTTGATTAGTACACGAGCATGCTCTTTGGAATGTAGGAGCAGAGATAGTAGAGAGATTTGAGCGGGAGTCTTTCTTAGCTGGTCAATGATTGAGTAATCCTGAACTTTCATCTTTTTCAAAAACTCTTCCGCATCTGCTTTAGTGACTGGTTTCTTTATTGGCAAATGGCCTTCTCTAATTTGCTTGGCCTTCCTCAACTCTTCTGGAGAGTAAGATCTCCCTAATCGAGTCAAACCTCCAGTTTCCCCCACTTCCTCTATGATTTCCTTTCCTTTGTAGGTCATCACAGTTTTGTTGTAGTTCCAAGGAGTGGCTTTTGTGTTGGTCACAGGGGTCTGCACGGCAGGTTTGACTACAATCAGCTATGTTATACCTTTCGAACCTCCCTGCTTCTCCCTTTTGATGGGGTGGCCTCCAAGTACATATAACCTTGGGCTTGGAACACTGGAGTGAACTTCCAACATCGAGATCTTTGGAACAAATAAAGTTGCCTTATTTGAGCTCTGGGCGCCTTTCACAATCAATGGAACATCTCGGCTGGGACTTACTTCCAGACCTGCTCCTTCTTGAATTGCACCCACTGTCATTTCTGCTCGACCGACCGGTTTGTATTCTTGATCTTGGCCAATCATTCCCACAAAATGAACATCATTGTGTGTTGGCAACAGGTTGTTTGTCACGTTAGGAGGGTCCTCGCCATTCGTCAGTACAATCAGTTTTTTAGAAACGAGTCTCTCTATGGCTCTTTTTAGAGTCCAACAATCATCAGTGCTATGCCCTGGGGCACTGGAATGATATTCACATCTAGCATTTGCTTGAAATCCATGCGAATCGGGATGCATATGGTGGGGAGCGATGGGTCCAATTACGCCCATTTGCTTCAGCTTCTGGAATAGACTAGAATATGATTCAGCCAATGGAGTGAATTTTCTTGCCGGCTTCTGCTCTCGACCATAATCCTGCCTGGGACGAGCATTGTAGGGTGCCCGAAAATTTTGCTGCTGAGGTCGGGGGGCCCTTGGAGCTGGTCCCGTACCTGCTGATTGGGAGGCCGAGCATATGATTGAGCATTGAACACTGTATATTATGGTGGGCCCACAGAGTATTGAGGAATTGGCGAGGGATAATAATGTTGAGGATAACTGGATTGCCCCTGCTGAACTTGCACATAAGGGTGTGATGCCCCTCTTTGAAACTCCCTAGATCCCGAAGCCATCATGGACCCTTCATCTCTCTTCTTTCTATTTGCCAAACCTCCCGACCCATTTTGGATAGCTTGGGTGGTGGCTTTGAGAGCAGCTTAACTTGCAATTCTGCCAGTCTTGAGGCTATTTTCGACCATCTCCCCTATTTTGATTGCTTCTGCAAAAGGTCTACCCATCGCGGACATCATGTTCTGAAAGTAATCAGGCTCTTGAGCCTCTAGAAAAACAGTGATCAACTCGTGGTTATCCATGGGTGGCTTAACTCTAGCCGCTTGCTCCCTCCACTTGATGGCTCCCTAAAACTTTCGGTCGGTTTTTTCTTCATATTGGACAAAGAATTACGATCCGGTGCAATATCAATGTTGTACTGGAATTGTTTGATAAAGGCCTGGGCCATGTCATCCCAAACATGCCAGTGAGAGATATCTTGGTCAATGAACCATTCGGAAGCTACCCCCACAAGGCTTTCCCCAATGTAAGCCATCAACAGCTCTTCTTTTCCTCCTGCACCCCTCAGCTGGTTGCAGTACCTTTTCAAGTGGGCGATAGGGTCGCCGTGTCCATCATATTTCTCGAATTTTGGGGTCTTGAACCCTCGTGGCAAATGAATGTGAGGGAACATGCATAGATCACTGAATGAAACACTTTTGTGACCACCTAGTCCCTGTATATTCTTTATATTCTATTCAAGACTTTTCATTTCCTGGCTATCTCATCTGGCTCAACAGTCGTGGCAGGCTTTTCATTTTCCACTGGTGATTCGTACTAAGGAGTCTGATTGTATGGATCCGAGACTCCAAAAGCCATATTTGGAGAATAGTATTGGCCATCATAAGCATGAGATGGTGGCTCATTGTTTGGCCTCATCACAGGTGGTGGCGGCGGGATTGTATATACCGGTGCGCCAGACACGACGAGAGGGGTGTTCCTGACCGGTGCGACTGGAGGTCGCATGTTAGAGGTACCGGGGGCAGCATGGAGGCTATAGATTGGCACATACCCTAGTGGTAAAATGTGATCGCTCGTTGCATGGAGCGGTTTTTGAGTAGCCTGGGGTATGGTGGAAGTTCCCTCTGAGGGACCCTGGGGTGGAGGTCGACCGGAGACCCAAGCTTGATATACATCTGACAGTTGTTGTCTCAATTTTCTTATCTCCTCCGACTCTTGCTCAACTGACTGACCCTGCGGATTGTCACTAACCAACTCGATTTCATCACTGTTATCCATTACCACCGCTCCCTTAGATCTTATGAAGTAATGATGTGTTGCCAGTTTCACCACAAACCAACCACCTTAACCTTACTGATTTAAGAGGCAACAAACGTATTAGGGTTAAGCATTTTATAGATAGGAGTCACACGTAGATATGCTATGCTCCTAAAATATCACCATCTCTAACATGCTTTTGGAAGGCTTCATGTTTCATTCCGGCTTATAAGGTTGTTATCTATTGGTGCTCTTATTTTCTTCTCTCTCTCTCTCTTTTCTTTTATATGCTTTTCTTTTCACTCGCCTTATCTTGATCCCTTATTTTGTAGCCATTTGAAAAATATTTGATCGAACGTTTTGTGGGTTGCCTACGTATCATGTCGCCACATGAATCAGATCATTATGTAGTTCAGGTACATGACCATTTTTTTTTACAAAACAAACATCTTTTGATTCGTTTTCGAATTTTTCTAAACAAAATCTTTTTCATTGATTTTCAATATATATAAATTTTTTTTGGATACAAGACTCAAAAAGGAAGAATTACATAAAGATAAACAAGACCAGACCTGACTCAAACAGACTTTTTAGGATAAAAGGAAAAACAACAAGACTCAAAACAACAAAAGACTCTTACAAACTCAAAACAACAAAAGAATAATGAAAAGGGACTGATAAATAAGAGAAGATTTCGATCTCTTCAGTAGAATCCACCAGCATCACTGTAATCAAGGCGCTTGTTCCTGCAGCGGACCCCCAACATTGCGGTATATCCTCTCCAAGTCTGCAGATATATGACAAGCAACGTCCAATGATACTTCTGCAAACCGCTCGGGCATCATTCTGTAACAACTCCTGCATACTCTTGAGGTATAGGTGGCTACCTCGAGGATCTTTCCCTTAATTTATTCCTGAGCCACATGCAACTCTTGATTTTGCTAACCACGGGTCTCAGCTAGATCCAGCGCATCACGCTCGCGGTCCAAGGCCATATCTTTATGGCGCCGAACTTCGAGCGACTCCGCTTCTAATTGATTGATCATCTTTTGGTAGTGGTGTCTTTCTATTTCAAACTCCGCGATCTGGCTCTCCTTGCTTGACTCAACTCCCCCTATCTGCTCCCTCAGACCTTGGACTAGTGGAGAAAAACCTCTACGCTCGTGATCACGGACTACCCTGAACTGGGCTTCTCTCTCTTCTTGTTGCTGAGCGGTTGTGACTATGTTCTTCTTTCGAATTTGGGCTTTGAGTGCTTGCTTGTCTCGTGCCCACTGAGCCTTTTCCCGCTCAAAATCAGCCTGTTGTATGTCCATGGCTGTCTCCAGAATGCTCTTATCTTCTTGTAAAATGTCAATACGAGATTGAAACTCTTGTGCCACTTCCCTTCTGGTTTCTCTAACTCTGACCTCGATCTCCTCCTCCCAATCAACTGCATGCCGTATGGATCTGTCTGGCCTTTGCTCGGGGATAGCCTGGTTGTGAAACCACTCAAGGTATGCGAGGCTTACCTCCCCACGTTCACGATCATCTACCATCTCGTCCAAATCAGAAAATCAACCACCAAACCAAACCTTTTGTGCATATGACTCCCTTGGAGGTTCCTCTCCCTTGAATTCCCACACGAACGGACGCATGTCCTCAATCAAGGGCCTCTTTTCCTCTCTTCCTAGTTGGCGCATAATGCGTAGGGGCACGTAGGGTTGGAAACCTATGAAACCCATGAGTATGAAGAACGGGCGATACGTCGACATATGCATGACCCTAGCAGAAGGGAACCAATAATAGTTCCAAGTGATTCTATCAGCACTCAATGAACCAAGTAATTTCCGCCAGGCCCTCACCCCCTCTGGGAGATTACAACTTGCGGCTCTGTCTGGGTGACATTCAATGTAATTCATCCAGTTTTCATTGAAATTTATTACTATTGGATAATGATAAAGGTACTCTATGAACCACATCTGCAGCAGAATGTTGCATTCCTTGAAGTAATCTTCACCCTCTTGGCAGCGGGTCAAAGCTCGAAAAATATCTCCTAAAATCATGGGAAGAATGGTATGATCCTCGCTACTTTGCAAATACGAGATTACCGCAACCAATCAAATTCTGATGCGCCCACCACGCTCTGGAAAGACGATGATCCCTAGAAATGATATCATGAATGCGAAGATTCTCAACTCCCTCCAAGCATCGTAACTCAACTGGTTGACGAATTCTATGCCCGAGAAGTTTTCAAACTCTTTCTCGTCCCCAAATCTGTCAAAAAGATATTCCAACGGAACCCAACCTTCATTTAAGCAAACCATTAGAATTCGACGGAGGCATAACTTCTTTAAAAAGTTGTTCACACCAACTTTTCTTGGAGCAGCAGGCTTTTTTCCACGAAGGTCTCTCCCCAATCCGGTGAACCCACCTAATTCTTCCAATGTAGGCGTCATTTCACAATCTTTGAACCTGAAGACATTGTTGACGGGGTCCCAAAAACCCACTAGAGCCTCGACTAAATCTCTGTTAGGCTTAATTCCCATGATGTTTGTGAGGAACTTGAGGTGCTTAAATACTTGATTCCGTTCCCATGTAGCAAAACTAGCCCATCAATTACAGAGACTACTCGGGGTCTTATCTCCGATCAAGAACATAGGAGGTGTCTCGTCCCGAACCCTTTTCTGAATGCTTCTTTGTGGAGAACTCCTGGTGAACCTAAGAATAAGATAAAAGGGTCAGGACTTACCTAAACTATATGCCAATTCTGACCATTCTTTTTTTTCTTTTTTTTTTCTCTTTTTTTTTGTTGCCAATTTAGGACTCGATCTATTTTTTTTTGTTATATTTTTGAAGTTGTCGGACACAAAAGTTGAGATGACAAAAGCAGGAAGAATGGCTATTATTACGAAAACGGCCATAGGAACAAAATGATAAAAATAAATAAATAAATAAAAACTATTTTACGAAAAACGGCCCTTTGGCACTCCCGAGAGGGGTTCAAAGGTTGTCTCAGCAAATATAACCAGACAAAACTAGATAAAATGGCTACTTTTGCGAAAACAGTCGTTCGGTACTTCCGGAAAGGTTTAAGTTGTCTTGAAAAAAAAATGGCCGGACATAATGGCAAAATGGTAAAAGGTGAATAAAGATGGATAAAATAGCTATTTTTTTTTTTAAAAAAGGGCCCTTCAGCACTTCCCAGGAAGATGTTAAAGGTGTCTTGGCGAAACAACCGGAATACGCTAAAAGAGTAAAAAGGCGACCAAAGTAGCATTTTTTTCGAAAATTTTATGCACATGCAGAATTTCATGCTCCTTTTTTGAAAAGTGTGGGCTGAACCTGATGGAGGTTGCCTACGTATCTCACATCCGGTGAGAATCAAACCCGCGTAGTTCGGTAAAACTGAGTACTTTTCTCTTTTGATTTTTATGAAAAATTAATCTTTACACCTCACGCCAGACTACTACAAAATCTTTCCCTTTTCTATATTTTTCTTTAAAGAAAAACAAAGGTTTATTTGCACTAAACTTAGGAGAACAATTCCCCTTTTTTCCTTTTTTTTCTAATAATTCCGCTACACTAATTTTCTAAAGCCGGTCGACAATGCAAGTAAGCCTTCCAAATAATGTATCAAGTTGCACATATGTGAACATGATGGTCTCAAAGAGGATACCTGTCTTATACAGACCCGACCCCTGTGCCGAGTTTCGCTAAGTCAAATGCACGTGATGCACGGATATCCGGCATGAGGTTAGTTCTTCTAGGTTTAAATCCTTGTGGAGAAGGTATCTAGATTGGCTTACTCGAGCGGACAACTCGAGCCGAGGAGGGGCAGTGTACAGGTAGCATTGGTTTCCGGCTTAACTGGTGGTGCTCCCCGCCTAAAAGATGTGTGACTAAAATCCTTCACCGGGTGACAAGCACCTCGGCTATCTCAAAGAAAGTTGGCTATGTCAAGCAAATGCCCAATTTTAATATCAAGAAGACTCCGAGGGGGTGTGTGAGAAAACAGTTTATATGTACAGTTCAACAATATCAAAACGGTAAAAATTGAACAGGTAGCACATTGCACAAATAAATCACAATATATACAAAATTAATAAAGCCAAAAAAAAGTCAACATGTACAAGCTTATGGTTAGGTCCCCAGCAGAGTCGCCAGAGCTGTCACACCCCTTTTTTCCACCCCAAAAAGATATGTGTCGTTATGAGTTTTGTAGTGGGTTAAAGAGTTTTCCCAATTAAAGTGACAATTTTGAAATAGAGATTATTTTATTGTTCAGAGTCGCCACTTGGAATTAATTTTTTGGGTGTTCCAAGTCACCATTTATTTGAATCCCTAGTCAAAGGAAGGTTTGACTCTATTTTTATCGGTCCGCGAAAACAAAGTTCGGGTAAGGAATTCTGTTGACCAGGGAGAAGGTGTAAGGCATTCCCCGAGTCCCGTGGTTCTAGCACAGTCGCTTTTATTGACTAAAATTGACTTGAATTAATTTTGGATAAATTGTGCTTTATTTAATTTTTATGTTTTACCTATCCGCTTTTATTTCTTGATTATTAGATTTATTAAGAAAAAATAATTTTTTGAATAAATTATGTTGTCATAACCACGCTACGCGAGCGAATGCGTGATTGAATAAAAATAATTAACTAACTTGTCATAATTGCGCCTCGCAAGCGAATCCGAAATCATGACAGTCCATTATTTGTAATACTTTTAAAAAATTACTACATTTGAGAAAATGAAAATTTAAAAGTCAACTGTTGCACTACACAAACGAATCCGCAATTTTAACAAAGGATTAACTAAATTAAAATTTAACTAAAAACTAATGGGTATGGTATGACATTATTGAATTAATTTATTGAATGTTGAACATCACGCTACCCAAGCGATTTCGTGAGTTAAAGCGCGCTTACTAATTGCCTAGCGTTGAAATTAATTGAAAATAACTAACCTATCAAGAAAAAGGAAAAGAAAAAAAATTATTAAAAAAAAAGAGACATACACTTTATTGGATCTATGGAAGAAACCTTATTTTTAATCATTTGGGCTAACTCATGGTTATCTTAGGAGAAATGGGCCAACATTTTACTAATATGTATATATATTTTTTTTTAAAAAGAAAGGAATGGGCCATCTAGCTTAATTGTCATTGGGCCTGCAGAAATTGAGTTTCTTGGCCCACATAGTTGAAGAAAAAAAAATATGGGCCATCTAGCATGCTTCAGTGCTTCAGACCTGGACCTAATTTATTGGGCCCAATTACTTTATCTCATACATGAAACATCCTACTACTAATTTATTTACTACTAATAGATAAATACTACTATCTTGTTAGCCTGAAAGTAACCCGGCAAGCAAATAACAGTGATAAAACTCTTAGGTTATTAATAATACAAATACGAGTCAGGAGACGAAATGGGCGCGTGACAAAAATTAACCACTATGCCAAACTAAAACCCTTGGATCTACGTAACTTTTAGCTTACAAGAAACTTCTCTTAATTCAAAACTAATCATTTCACCATTTATCAAAAGAGTCACAAGACACTAAAAATGGCATCTAAACTATCATCCAACTCAAAGTACATAACAAACAATGAAAATAGATAAACAAACAGAGACAACGTAATTTTAAGGAAAATATATATATATATATATATATATATATATATATATATATATATATATATATATATATATGATAGAAGAACAAATAGGTAATGGAACATTTGCTAAGCTTAACAAAAATGTAGTAGACAAAAGAGATAGACCTTTTAGCAACTAAATAACACACTAACAAAGTATTGTTTTGTGAACAAAAATAAAAGTTATGGCTAAATACAACATATTTACATGCTATAATATTGATGCAACAATTATCTTGGGACAAAATCAGATATTACATGTTCCACGGGTTCAAATCTTTTCATTGTTATCAAGAATCTGCAATTCAAAGGTTCAAGGGTTACCTGATTTGTAACAAGATGAAATTCAGTAGTGAAAGGGCAGAAAATCAGCAACAAAGACAGCAGAAACAACGACTAAACAGCAGTGAATCCGTGTTTAAACAGCCCAGAAATCTCACTAACAGTAGTGATTCTTTAGGAGAAGGAACTCAAGAATCAAACTCTAATACTCTTATATGTTTTTGAAAGACTTTGCACTCTAAGACTCAACCAAAAACTCATGATTTTCAGCTTACTTTTCATGTGTTCAACTGCTGATTTTTTTTTTTGTTTCTGTGTGTTCAAGCAATTCTAAAGATGTATGAAATTGTGATGGAGTCCCCCCTTAAAAATGAAGAAAGGGCAGCCCTTAAGTAGGCAAAGAAAACCACTTTTTGGGCAGATTTTGGTTTACCAAAAATCTGTCCAAAAAGGGACTGACTTTGTGTGCTAAACACTATTCAAAGGCTGTCCAAAAGGTGAAAGGACAGCCTGAAAATCTGCTATAGCAAAAGCAAGGAAAGAAAATATCATTTCAGCCACCCAACTAGTCAAAAGTAAGCTACTAGTACCCTAAGTCATGATCAAACCCATCTAATTTTC